ATAATTTTAGAGTAATCCTTTGATTAAAAGAGTTGCAGAATTTGTCCCCAAAACAATACATGATAAAATAAGGTTTATCAAAGCATTTCTTAAAGAAATGTATTTTCATTAATTATCAAAACTCGGGATGTCATGTTCCGATACAAACATAAAAGCATACACAATAAAACATAGACCTTACACAGTTACATACAACTACTGGTCTATAAACAAAAACATCTTCACAAGTTCTCCAACTTATGCTATCGCGCCACTACCTATAATAAAAAGAAATTGAGTGGGTCAGGCTTGGGAGCCCGGTGAGCATATAAGGTTTTCAACCCACAATGAATAATTATATTTATTTTTTACCAACCAACAATAACCCAATTACCCATTCCCGTTATCCTCACTTTACGTCCCTAAAACAACAACTATCACAAGGGACCTAATCTAGGATTTTCATCGGGACGGACATTACTGCAAAGGGGTTTCCTTAACAATAGATGTCCTAAAGGTAACCATGAGGGGGATAAAGTATACCGATGAACACATCGTTCATAACACCTATAGGTTATGAACATGCCAACGTTCCGCATGACTGTTTAAAAAGAGTCTGTGGTCGTCATCCATACTCCGCTAGATGACTAGATCAACAACAACATCGAGGCCTCTTATCATTTTTATTTCATCACACATCACTATCTACACATGTTCCACCCAACGTATTTGTAGATAAAAATATAAATATATAACATAAAACATGTATAAAATATTCAATCAATACTCATTTCAAATAACACATAACATATTAACACATAGCACGTATTTTATGGAAATACTTTGTATTTATGTGTTAGAAAAAAAATAACTACACACTCACATAAATCATATACTTAATACATTCAATCAATTAGTTGTATAAAATCATGTATTTTAAAGGGACTATGCACTCACCTGATGAGAAGATGATCGGGCAGCACTACGACTTGTAGAAGTAGTATTCTTCGGTGAAATTGGAAGATCTCCACACATCGGGCTTCTCGCAGGCAGAACTTCGGCTCAGAAACTCTTTTTTTTTCTTGGGATCTTCGGGCTTCGGGACTTGATTTGGCTCTCAGGATGATACCGGGGCTTCGGGGGTAATTCAAAATGACCAGAGAGGGTTTAGGGAGTGAGAGAGTGAAGGGAATAGCAACCAAAATCGGTTGCCCTTGGATTTCTATTTATAGGCTGAAATATTGAATTCACATCGTGAAATCTCAAAATTCATGTCGTGAGTTCAGTCAAGCATAGGTCATTGCGTTCGTCATCAGTCCACTTGCTCTAGAAGGCTCCAGAAGATGTCAGCACTGAGTTCACGTCGTGAACCCCTTTACACGTCATAAACTCTGACACAGTGTTGGGGTTCGCGCCCTGAACTTCATAAATTGATAACTTTCGCATACAAGCTCCGTTTTCGACGTTCTTTTTTCCATGCGTAGGTAAAAACAAGATCTAAAACTTTCGTTTAGACTTCGTCGGCTAACTTTGAATTTATTCTTATTATATTTTTATTATATTATTTTTAGTAGGCCGGGACAGGAAAACTTCGTTGGAAATTCATAACTTCTTCGTATGGCGCCCGTTTTCATCTGTCTTACCTCCGTTGCACTACTATTGATGAGATCTTCGATTCTTATTAAGAAAGTTTTGGCTAGAAATCACTCGATCTCAAATTCGAGTTTCGGGCTACATACTACTAAGTCGAAACTTCGGAAAATCATAACTTCGTCATACTAAGTCGGATTTAGACGTTCTTTTCATGCACGCTCTCGGTTTAACATATTCTACAACTTTCGTTTAGATCTATAAGGCTAGATATCGCTCTATCGTAAATTCACTATTTACGTCGTGTTGTGCCGTACCGGTTCTGTCGTGAAACTTCGACAGGTTATAACTTCTTCGTTATAACTCGGATTTCGGCATTCTTTATATATTCGGAAACCTTGTCACGACCACTACGTCTTCATGTATCGATATCTGGCTTATCTAACATTTTATTTTAACTCATATTTTTATTCTTCATTCATTTAAGCCACATAATTAAGCAATTAAGCATAAAACACATAATACTCAAATAATACATTTTTATTATTTCAAAATAGCTTACAAATATCAACCTAGACTATGACATTGCTATTAATGACAAGCCTAGAAACACAGACATTACAAAATAACACTTTAAAAATGAATGGATAACATCTCCAACATCCTCAATACAAAATGGACAAAAAGGTGAATCTATCTCCACACATAATCTGTTTATATTAGCACATCTAGGGATAATATTGTCAACACCCCAAATAAGACATTAATTATTATTGGAATCTTTTAAAAAGTTATTTTTGGATGTTATAATTAAACTTATATAGTTTTTCAATACTATTGGTTTTAGATCATGGACTCTATAGGGTGTGTACTATTCTCTTTTGGGAGAATTTGTATCAGTCGTGACCTCAATAAAGTGACATCCGAGATGCGGTTCTTAGATAAATGTCTACATTTTCGAGTAATATAATACTTATTACTGTATCTTCTACTCATTTGTTTTTAGTTTGTATTTTTACCTTTACTTCTATTTTTTACAGACTAAATATAGGTGCATGGTACCAAAAAGAGAGGGTGAACATGCATTTAGGATTTAAGAGTTTGATTAATGATCAATATAGAGACATGATAAGGATATGAGGAAGAGATATGCGAATATGGCATAAGAGACTGGGAAACCTATCCCTAAAGGTTATGTTTCCTACTTTCCTACGATGAATAACTTTTACCCCATGCATACCAAAGATTGTGTGGCCACATTTGTGTGAGGTAAGGAATTCAATACATTGTTGTCTATTTTGTTGAGTTTTATTCTATATAATGTTACTATACGTATATTTTTCTTTTGTTAGCACTCGAGCATGAACAAATCGAAAAGGTAATCTAAAAGCGGTCAATAGAATCGTAACATCCCTAACTGTAATGAGATGACATGAAGGCAAACTGTTGGTTGCATAGGATACACCGAGCATCGAGATAGATTAGTAAGTAATCATAGTTATAAATTTTATTATTCTTGTTTTGTTTTAGCATTAACTAAATATCTTTATACGACTAAGGAAGCACATGTGACTTATCTTTATCATGTTTGTATATTTATTTTCTCATATTTTTGTATATGACATTGGTGTTGTTTTGCTAAATTATAGGATGCATATATGTAGGGGTTGGTTAACAAGTATGGTGAAAGCCAACCGAGGAGAAAAGGATGAAAAAAGAAGGGTGCTACCTTTGGGATATGAGCCTCATATATTAATTTTATCATTTTAGGGACACTATATTCCCAGTCTATCCAGTCGAAGGCATCAAAACTACAGGTTTATTGTTATGGTTTAAGCTTAAGTAGTATGTTGTTACTATGGATTACGTTAATAATAAACAAAAATAAATTGCTATTATGGTTTAAAATGAAGTAGTATGTTGTTATTATGGATAAAATTGTTTATAAACAAAAGTGCATTGATATCATGATGTAAAAGTTAAGTATTTTATTGTTAATTTTGATTAAATTCATAATAAACTAAAGTATATTGCTATTATGGTTTAAAAATCAAGTAGTGTGATGTTATTATAGATTAAATTAATAATAAACAAAAGTACATTGCTATTATGGTTTGAAAATAAAGTATGATGATTTTCTAGATAAAATTGATTATAAATAGTACATTGTTATTATGGTTTAAAAGTTAGTAGTTTGTTGTTAATATTGGTTGATAATAAACAAAAGTATATTGCAATTCATGGTTTAAAAGTGAAGTAGTATGTTGTTATTATGGATTAAATTAATAATAAACAAAAGTACATTGTTGTTATAGTTTAAAATGTAAGTATATTGCTATAACTAAAAACTAAAATACATTGTTATAATAAACTAAAGTACATTGATATAATGGTTTAAGTACCATTTTTAAGGTTATAAGGTAAGGAAGTTTCTAACATGTGATAAGTACAAAAGCAACTTCTAGAAAAAATGGTGATGGTTTTTTAGAGAATGGGATATGCCCCACTGATGATATATATATATATATATATATATATATATATATATATATATATATATATATATATATATATATATATATATATATATATATATATTTCTTAGTTTTGGAAACAACGGACAATTGCATAAACACTTGGTATTTTTTGCTTTTGTGTAATTTCTTAGTTGGTATGGAACAATTGAACTTGATATTTGGACACCTTTTTTGTATTTAAACAATTTAATTGCAATCTTTAGTTAGGTTTGAGTTTAAATATGATTATTATTATCAACTTCATATTGGTTTTTTCCATATATTGACCAAAAAAAACAACTTTGAAATTTTGGTATTTTACAATTTTTAAAAAAATAAATCGTAAATACCGACAAACTAGATGAAATATCCGTCGGTAAAAGGTGTCTATGTATTCCATCAGTAACTAAGTCAAACATGGTATGTCGCTAAAGCATAGTTATTACGTCAGTATTCAAGTCAAACATGCTTAAAGAGGCATTTGTTGCTAAAGCGTAGCCAATCCGTTGGTAAAGTGGAGCCGTCGGTATTCCGATGCTAATCTGTCAGTACACATGACCAACGACCTTAAACCTGACGGCCTAGATTCCTACGCCAATCCGTCGGTAAATGCTATCACTAACAAAATACTGATGGATTATGTCGTCAACAGCTCAGTGCGTCGTTAAAAATTACAATCTCTCATTTTTTATTTCCATGCTCTTTATGAGAGTAAACAAATCTTACAGACAACACTAGGAAAATCACATTATTAACAAACAAAATCTTGCATCTAATAATAAATGAAACTACATTTACGTCAATTATTGTTCAGACTTCATACTACTAATTGCACATTTGAACCATGCAAACTAACAAAGCAAATTAAGAACACTCAAAATGATATAGACCAACCTCTATGAGCTGTAAACAATTCTAGGTAGTTGGGCCGAATACCACATTTAATATTTTAAGCTTTTAAGCCAAAAATGTATTGGTTAAGTTCAGCTTGTTAGAATTTTCCAAGAACCTCTTACATGTAGTATGAGGCTGCTATTTCTCTTCAGCAAGAGCAGAATCCCAACCATCCTGTCGATATACACAAGTATTAATTATACAGAGGAGTGATACCCAAGAGTTCTCAAACATCAAACAGTAATAGTACATTGCTTCAACGAGTGAAAAACAGAAGATCACTAACTACATACCTTTAAAATATTGCGAACCTTTCCAAATATATACTTTTCCTTCATGCTTGCCCCTCGGTTTTTCAGTGTGCTGGGATCGGTTAGAAGAAGAGATCTATTGTAAGCTCTACTTAAGTATCGAGTTTGCCACTCACCTTTCAGTGAAACCGGTTCCCAGCCACTTTCAGGTCCAAGTATCTGTAAGTTCAAGATTTTAGTTAAAAATCTCCTTACTTGTAAGAAACTAGAGATATTACGTTCATCTATGTTGCATACTTGATACTTCTATCAAAAATACTTGCTACTTCTCACGAGGAACTAGTTTATGACAAGTTTTTTAATTTAAGTAGAAAGATTGCACGTACATCTTGTAGGTTTGACAACATATCACCCAAGAACCGTTCTCTTCCATTTGTCCAACTTTCGATCTCATCATCATATTTTTCTCCTAAAAGGTTAATTATAATTGGTTAAAAAAATGCTCAATAGACTCTTCCATTCACATGGTATCTTGTTTGTTAAATGACAAAAGAATAGTATTAAAGATGCGTCCCATTGACCAAGGTAATGATACCTCTTACCTAGAATATGATTCTCTTGTCTCTCTTCAGAGCGCTTTTTTTGTTGAACAACTTTATCTTCAGATTCGAATCTCAACACTTCCACCTGTTCACATACAATACATAATTATACACAGAGGAGTAAACCCAAGAGTGCTCATAAAACAAACATGAATCGTGTAGCACATACATTTAAGATTTCGAGAAGCTTCTTACATATATACTTTTCCCTTGTGCTTGCCCCTCGTTGTACAAGCCTTACAGCACTAGTAATATACTCAGCATTCGAGTAGTAGTTTCTTATAGCACGAGTGGTCATCATCTCTGTCAACGGAACTGGTTCCCAACCACTTTCAGGTTCAAGGATCTGCAAATTCAAGAATTTAGTTTAAATCTAGAGTTTAAGCTGAAAAATTATTTTCCATGCTTGTAATTATAGTACAAAACCTAGTTACCATTTAGTGATAAATGATTTGAACCATTTATATTTCCCAATCCACCCTCCTCCATACTTAAGGCATCCACAATCCTTTGAATTCTAAGGAATTCAATGGATTGACATATCACCATCACATCAACATTTCACTTTTTATTCAACTATACTCCTTAACATCTAATTCCATTAAACTCTATAAAGTTTAATGAATTTCTATATTTGGTTTGAAATTTAATTGAAAAAGAAAATATTAAATCCATTGAACCACTCTCAATGATCATACAACTCTCTCATTCTACTTTCCTCCTCACACTTCATTAAATTTATATTCAATCCTATAGTCATCAATTGTTCCATTCTTATTAAACCCATTGTGAATGCTCTTGTTAGGAGTAAACTAATATATCATGTACACCACTTGTTGTTTCATTATCCATCAATATCTACTATGGAAAATACTTGCTAGTTTCCATATGTAATGTTTTTAGCGTAAATACCATTATTCATAAACAGTATTTTATTTATTTATTTTTTTGTCTTGTCATAAACAACAATTATATGCTTTTTTACCGTATTGTACAACTTCTTTAAATCATACATAGCTGTCTCAAGAAATTGTTATGTACACCTTAACTCCTGATTAAAAAGGAAGTTGGTAAAGAGACTTATTTGGCTATTTAGGATATGTTTGGTGTACTAGCTGAAAAGCTAGATGTTAGCTGAAAAACTGGCTAACAGCTGAAAAGTTAGTTGTTAAATAAAAGTTAGCTAATAGCTGAGAAGCTAACTGATAAAAACTGATAAAAAATGTTGTTTGTTAAAACTAACTGAAATATCTAAAATTGCATAAAAAGACATTTAAGAGTATTTGTTTTTATAATTAATTAAGGGGTATATATGGAAAATTAAAAAAAAAAGAACTCCTAAAAAGCTAGTCTAAAGCTATGTTTGACATACTAGCTGAAAAGCTAGCTGTTAGCTGAAAAGTTAGCTGGTAGCTAAAAAGTTGGCTGTTAAATAACAAGCTAGCTAACACCTGAGAAGCTAATTGATAAAAAAAATGATGTTTGGTAAACTAGTTGAAATATACAAAATTACATAAAAAGACATTTAAGAGTATTTGTTTTAATAATTAATTAAATGATATATATGAAAATTTTGTAAAAAGCTCAAAAAAGTAGCTAGCTTATCAGCTATATTTTTAGTTTGTAAAACACGACAATATAAAAAAGCTCAAAAAATAAGCTATCTATGACGCACCAAACATAATCTTAGACAACCTAATCATTATTTTTTATTTAAAAAACATATTAATAATTACATGATGATTGCTATTTATTTTTAAGTAATTATTATATAATATTTTTTTATTACTTTTTTACTTTTTAAACGGTTTCTTTTAAATTAATTTATGCTATATAAACAGTTGCTTTTATTTATAAATACTAAATAATACAAATAAGAAAAAAGGATTAAAAAAAAACTCGATTATAAACACTTGTAATTATTATATTTAAAAAAATTGACCAGAGGTCTCTATCGAATTATTTGACGGAATCTAAAGATAAGTAATTAAGCTGAAAATTTATATTCCATCCTTTTTAATAAATCCTCCATAATAAATAAAGAACTTTTTATCACATGTCTTCTTCTGCTTCATTTGAACACATGTCATTTTCTATAATTTTTGAATTTTCTATTTTCTACTTGTTATTTTATTGTATTTTTCATTTTATTAAATTAAAATTCCACATTTAATATGTAAGGTATTTATTAGAAAGGGTTTATATATTAATGTATTCAGTACATTAAAGCCTCTTTAATTTTAATAATTCAAAATTTTTCTTATTTTTCTTTTAAATTTAAACTTTTTCAAATTGTTAAAATTTCATATTTAATTTTTTTAAATAAACCCATGTAATACATTGGTCTCACACCTAGTCTACTCTAATAAATGAAAATGACTTTGTCACATGTCCTTCTCTCATAAGATTAGCCACATGTCATTTTGTCATAATTTGAGATATATTTATTTTCCATTTGTCATTACTTTAATTTTCATTTTCAATATATCATTAATTTACTTTCCATAAATTAAACCTACCATAATTACTATCAAATTTTAAATTTCAAATTCAATTCCAAATAAATTTGCAGTTTAAACATTTATGTTTAATATTTTGTTATAATTAACCCGTTTACTACACACTAATCATATAATTTTAATTAATTTATTTTTTGCAAGTTTTTTTTTTCTCATAATTTTCACTTATTTCAATTTCAAATTCAAATAAAATTTTTATTTAATTGTTCGTACTTAACATTTTGTTTTAATAAACCCGTATATTATACGGGTCTTACAATTAGTTTTTAATAAATAAAGGTTTTTTTTGCCACATGTCAATCTCTAATGAATTTTAACAATTATCATTTTGTGATATTTTTTAAATAAATAATATCCACATGTTAATTTATGGTTTTTTTTTTTTTCAATTTTTAAAATTAAAAAATCACATAATCGTATAGTTGTTTATATACGTAAAGTATTAAATGTAATATATATTATAATAAATTTTAATTAACATGTTTTTCCATTCATTATTTCAAAGTTTTATTTTAAAAAATACTTATTATTTACATTTTAATATTTATTTTCTTTAATTAACCCGTATAATACATATATCATGGAAAATATATACTTGCTGGTTGTCAACTTGTCATATATAATGTTCTAGCACAAGTTTTGTTAAGCAGGTAGGAAGCTTGTACAGACCTCATGTAGTGTTGAAAGCAGTGCACGCAAATTCCCTTCTTTTCCGCTTGACCACATTTTGATCATCTCATCATCAGGATTGTCCCCTAATTGCTGAAATACAAATTGTTACCAAAATGTAAGGCATAAAAACTGGTTGATAGTTTCTATTAAATCTAAGTGAGTCCATTACATTTCTCCCAGCTTCTTCCGTTTGAGGAAGTAGATCTCGCTTCTCTTTTATCACATTTGGTGTTGAAGACGATGCCCAGTTCACAATATTCAAAAAACCGACATCTCTTTGCTCCTAGAAACACCAACAAGCGAGTTATGAAGTAATTAATGATTACAAAAAGAAAATTCAAAAAAACATTGTTTATATAGTCTAATATATAAACTTATTGACTGTCGATCACCTTATGATTGCTGTTTCTAGCTACGCTTACTATTTCAATTGTTTTTCAAACCTTTAATGATTTTAGCCCAGCAATATTACAGAGGAAAGAGTTATATATAGAAGATACCTGATATTTGAGTGCAGTTTCAATCTTCTTCACGATCAACTCCATAGATGGACGTTCTTTCTGCTCTTTTTCCAAACATTGATACACGAGCGTTACGAAGGTATTAAAAGAATTTTCTTCTATTTGTTGCAGTAGATTAGCATCGATAATCACATCCCTGATCTTCTCTTTAGAAGTGTTCCTCACAAATAAAGGTAAGGATCTTCGCATATCATTAAAACTAAAATCAACACAAAGCCTTGAGCACAAAATTTCTAATAGTACCACGCCGAAAGAATAGACATCTGATTCTTTTTTGTAAAACGTTGTGTCTAGAAACACAGGATCACAATACCCAAGAGTGCCTTTGGGTTCAGAGATAAGAATCGAGTGTTCTTGGTTTGCAGGGCCATATTTGGAGAAGCCAAAATCTGCAATTTTTGCATTCCAGTTTTCGTCCAACAAGATGTTAGCACTTTTGATATCCCGATGTAGGACTCTTTGTTGGCCTCCCCTAGGATTGTGAAGGTACTCCAAGCCACGTGCAGCCCCAAGACATATCTTGAGGCGTTGAACCCACGTGAAGTTGGGGTCACTTAGATGATTGTTGAGGCTATTCTTTGGAGCATACTCATAGACAAGGATCCTTTCCGGACTTTGATAGCAGAAGCCGAGGAGTAAGATGATATTTACATGTTTATATTTGGAAAGCAACATGATCTCTCTCCAAAAATCAGCATCTCCATGTTTATTTGAAGGAGTCAGGCGCTTTACAGCTGCAACAATGGTTGAACCGTTGGATAGCATGAGTTCTGCCCTATACACCTTCCCAAATCCACCTTTGGCTAGGTAGTGACTTTCACTAAAGTGGTCGGTGGCCTGTTGTATGTTTTCAAGTGGAATTTCGAGGTGCTTGTATGCATTCATGAACGAGGACATTGTGTTAGTTATCAAACTAAAATGGCCCTTGTAATCGGGATCGAGAGAAGTAAGCTAATGATATGAATTTTTTTTTTTTCAAGTGACATGATGTTTTTAACATAATGGATGACAGTTAGTCAACTCATCCCTCCTGCCCCGAAACATCTTTCTCAAGGACAGGAAAAAAGAACATTGTATTTTCTAAATCGTTCTATTTATAAAATATAGAATTATATAAAACTGGTTGGCACTTCTTTTTAACAATTTGTTCTTTAAATATAGTTTATTGTGGACTTGGCTAATAACTGACATATGATATAAGGTGGAATTGTATCTGAACGATGGGGAGTTGATTTTTGATTTTTGGAATATAAAAGTATAGGAGACTTTTATATATATGTGGTAATAAAAAATCGTTGGAGACTTTTATGTGGTAATTATCTATGGACTCAAATGTCATCGAGATGTTGACATTGTCGATTTACAACTAATGCGATCAAGCTATGGGTGTGTTCGGTACATAGCTTTTGGGATATCTAAATTCTTGTTTCAAGAAAAAAGCTCGAAAAAAAAATGTTGAATGTGGTTGAGCCCGTGTTTGGCCCTTTCTTTTACATATTTTGGAAATTTTATTAATCAATTACAACGTAGTTAGGGAACATGTTTCTACCTTTCCAAGAGACGAGTTTTCAAGAAGCAACAACCATCAATGATTGATGACTCCTCGAAAGCAAGAACCTGGTAATCTTCACTCGTTTCTCTAAATTGAATTAGCCCTCTGTAGAATGGGGCTAATACCTCTACAATTAAAAAACCATAATTTAGATGAAAGGCATGAAATTTGAAGCATGTGATAGAACGATTCACCTTTTTTGCTCTTCCCTGCTTCTATTTACGTGTCTATTTGCCACCTAATGTTGTAAAACCGGTGTCAACCGGTTGGTTGAACTGGTTAGATCGGGAATTGAGGATGAGAACGGGATAGGTTTTATGTCATTTTCTAGACTGGTTCGAACCGGACGGTTTCTTCAAAAACCAAGTTGCACCAGTTTGGTAGAACCGATAAAAAAATCATTTGAACGTGTTTAATGGACTTGGATGGTTGTATTTCAATTAGCTCATTTAGAAAAACATTTCATTTCCAAAGAAATTGAATAGCTCAATCGATCAATTGATCACGATATTCGAAGTATACAATACTTGAATGCCGACACACACCACTGTCAGATGTAAACCGAAGGTTGAGCGGCGGCCAAAACTGTTGAACGAGAACCGGTCATAGATTGGTTCAACTAAAAAACCGGTTTTTAAATCGTTGTCATCAACATGTATGTTATGTTTTTAGTATTCCAATTTTTTTCTATTGTTTCCATCGTTATTTTATCTCCCAATTTGCATATTTGCGTTATGATTGAGTTGATGTATCAATTCGGATATACACTTTGAACGTGCATGCTAGATGTTTGATAAAATGTTCAAATTTTAGTGAAAGTTTGCTCTCTTTTGGGATTATATGGACATCCATTTTCCAAAATGTAATAATTCTATTAGATCTTGTGTATAATTTATTTTGTGAAATCGAGTTGATGATTGTGCAATTTATGTAGGGAAAACGACTTAAAAAGGTAATTATATTTCAAATTTGTACAAAAAAAACACCATTTAAGTATACCCTATTCAAAAAATACCAACTCAAGAATTCGTTCAAAAAATACCATCTAATTTCACATTTTGCCCTTTAATTCTAGTGTGGTAACCGGTCACTACTACAAAAAGCCTAAAAAGACCCGGTTTTAAGCTTAATATAACCCGGTTGTCAAGTGGGTTCCTTATAAGCAAGTCCTATGTTGATTTCCTGATATATCCCAGTTGTAGAACCGGGTCATATTTCCGTAATAAAGACCGGTTTCATCACAAAAAAACTAGGGTTTTTCTTCTAACCATCACTGTTTTTTTCCACCATAAAGTCTACTTCTCATATAAGCAACCGGGTTCTATTATAGATGATAACCACAGATTATTCTAGACAGTCTAGTGGAATGCTAGCAAGCTCGCAACCTGTAGGTATTATGAACGATGTGTTCACCAGATGGACTCTAAAACCTTGGCAACTATAGACTTAGTGCCTTATAAGTGAACGTTGACAGCTATGAATTTTAGTGCCCTATAGACGGATAATGGCAGCTATGGACTTAGTGCCTAACAGATAACATTGACAACTATGGACTTAGTGCCTGTTGAATAGATCCTGACAGCGATGGACTTTGTGTCTATTCCTTAGGACAACCCTTAGGAATGAATGAAGGAAGAATAGATAATCTTAAGGTAGATCCTTAAGTATAAAGAAGATAATGGGGTGGGAACTTGAGTTAATTGTTTGGTTATTAAACATAATAACCATATTATTGTGTGTTGAAAACCCTATGTACTCACCAGGTTTCCCAACCTAACACACTCAGTTTGTTGTATCACAAGTAGCAATATTAAAGATACATTCTGCTGAGGGATTCAAGGAGATGTAGATGATTAGTGTAAATGAATATATGGTCTGTTTATGCTTATGTTTATGTATTGACGATAACATCCCAATGTTTTAATATAAATAAAATACATTTCTTCAGAAATGCTTTGATAATATTATTATCATGTTTTTCTAGGAACAAATTCCGCAATATTATTCTTTAAAATTGATACTCTGATTTTTAAAATAAGCATAAATAAAATTATTAAAATAATCGTGAATTTGGGGATGTCACACATAGAAATAGAAAATTAGAAATTTATAAATTTAAAAATATATCGAATATATGTCAGAATTTCATGTAGCTGACAAGATTCATAACCCGTTGGTATCTTGCGTGCGGCCCCGTGTGGATGTGTTTCCTCACCGTCTCCTCCATGCCTCCTCGCATGTGGCATGTGTTTCCATCTATTTAACAAATATTAAATATCAACATCATCATTAATTAATTTGTTATCTATTTAACAAATATTACAAACTATACTAAACATACTTTAAACTAAACTAATAAACCACTTTGAGCAATCACAAAATGTATAATAATCGTAGCATATCATCAATCATAATCATCACTAGATCAATATACATATACAACATCATCATTAATGAATTCATTATCATTTCTAAAATTGTCATCATTATCTGGAGAGTACGTATCACCACCATCATCGTCATCACTAATGAAATCATCATTGTGCCATACTTGATTCACCATCATCATCATTATCCAAAGAGTACATATCACCACCGTTGTCATAGTACCTATCACCACTATCATTGCCTAAGTCAATAACCAAGGTAAAATCATTTGATCGAGTGTCGTTCATGACTTTATCTCATTAACATCGATACTTGGATGATCCCAAAGTTTTCGCTGATGAACATCTTCCATAACTCTGCAATTATTTTTTCAAGTAGGATCTTGGAGATAAAACACTTGTTTAGCTTTTGTGGCTAAGATGTATTGTTGATCATAATACAATGTCTTGTCAACATACCATTCATGACTAGTATTGATAACAACCATATTGTTTTTAGTAATTAAACGTCCTTTACTTAATTACACATTAAACCATTTACCACGGAAGAGAACAACCATATTCTTTTTAGTAATTAAACGTCCTTTACTTAATTACACATTAAACAATTTACCATGAAAGAGAACAACCAAGTAACCATATAAAGAGTCCAACTCTATGATATCCTCCAGTTGACTATAAAATGGTGTATCGTCTACTCTTAATGTAACAATACCACTATTTTGGGAAGTACGTTGGAGATCGCGGCTAAGCAAAAAAAATCAAACACCATTTACTATGTAGGCAATGTAAGAATATGCATATAATGAACCATGTGCCAACACCTTTAAGTCATTAGTACTAATGGGTTTTCTAGGTTATAAAAAAATTTGTGTGGAAGAAAAAACTTCAACTCTGAAGTTCGCATGCAACCTAGATAGGATCTATTTTTTCTCTATTGATAGCAATAAACTATGAACGTCAAGAAACCCTCGAGAGATGGTATGAAGAATCCAAATTAACATAAAGACTTAGGTTACATACATTTTAATTATTATAGCAAATAATCAAATCAAATCCTCTTGAAGTTCCTTGGAAAGCAAGCATCAAAAGGATGATGCCTCTAATGTCTGACACCCAAAACCAGAATACCTAGAATGAGGAGGTGAGGAGATATGAAGGGAATTTCATTCCTATGCCTTTAGGTAATGTGGTGAATGAAAATCGCAAGCCAAATGTGTCCTATCTATAGTTTAAGTAACTTTCAGGCAAAACAAGATTTGAATTAATTAAATAATAGATTTAATCTGAATTCAAATTATGTCCTTCTATGTAACCAGGAGACAAAACAAGACATAGTCCCTAATCCCAGAAGTGCAATAGATCGTACAGTCAATCCTTCTATTCCCAACTGAAAAACTCGATCTGATCACAATCATCACTCCCTTCTTGAGTCCCGCGACTCGCATCCCGGCCTCGAGCAACCCCCCCCCCTGAAGCTTCCACCAACCCTACAGAACTCGTGTATGCTAGCCATACATAACACTGGACCTCTATAGACTTTCGAATACCTAATCCTACCATAAGCCCTTCATCAAACAAGAACAGGAAATAAGGCCAAACCAAACATTCTCAGGCTATAAGATCTTAATTATGTACAACCGTGATGCATACACAAGCAACTACAGTAATGATGTCAATTTCATGTAAAGAAAACTCTAGGCTATCAGGCATCTTGTAATCAGGCAATTCTATCATACAATTCCTGAAGATCCCTAACCTAATACTAGCATGTTGTTCTAACATATCACAATATCAAATAACCATATGGTATTTTGGGGTCTACTTAGTGGATCCAACTAATTGTACACTCTGCATCCTCCTTTTAAAAATCAAAGTTAAGTCAAGGTCCATGTTCCTGATCCCAAGCCAACAATCAAACAAGAACATGACAAGAGATAGAGCCCATGCCCTTAACC